ACAGACAGCTGCTATATTCTAACACATGATATCCTCTGTTGCAGGTCCAACATAAATGAGTCTGAGTTGTGGCATAAAAAATTAAGACGTCAGCAATCCAGCTAATTAAATTTCTTTTTGCCCGTGTTAATAAAATTTCAGGTACACTAATTCACAAATAAATATTACTTAGTGTTACTAATATTTTTTTTCTCTCGTGTGCAGATTAAGTCTTAAGGCTAAGCAGTTATAAAAGCTATCTTGAATTCACGTTTTAAAAGCCAAGTGTTCAGGTCTTATTAGTTTCTTATCTATCCACCTTCTCTTTATCTTGAATTTCCTAAAGATGATGTTTGTTTTGATATTATTGTGCATATATCTTTTTGAACATGAATTATCCATTCTAGTTTATATATATACTTGTATCTCTGGATTCATTAAATCATCAGGTACTTTTAATCTTTCAGATTCTTTCTCTTTACTTGTTCGTTTTTTTTTAAGTTTTCGTTTAATTTGCTTGGGTTATTCTTTATGTTTTGTTATTGGCTGTTTCTGTGTGTTCACTAAATGTCCTATCTACGTTGTGTTGGCTGTTTTTGATAATTCTTTGATTATGCCTTTTTGTTGGTGTTTCTTGTGTTAAAATATGTTTGCTTGAATGATAAATTTGGTGCAATTTGATTAATGTGTTTATTTCTCTGTGATTTTTGTTTGGTCCGGTCATGACCGTGTGTGTTTTTGTTTGGTTGTGTGTTTTTCATGCTATCTGTTGTGATTCTGTGCCTGAATCATCTTCCTGTCTTGTTTGACCAAAATTGAAAATTTCTTGAAATTTTGTGCTTCTTTGTTATTTGCTAAGTCGTTTTCAAGATTGCATGTACCTTGTTCTGTGTTTCTCTTTTCTATTTTCACTTGTGCAGGTTCATGTGGCAAAAGATTTCGTAAAAAGCAAAAAGGAATTATTATGGAGCTGTTCTCTCTATTTCATCATCAAGCAAAAGCTATCTGGTATTAGTTATTGGATTCTCTTTATATGGTTTATCTTATTGAGTTATTGTCTTTAGTGGATATTATTGGATATTGGATTATCTTTTTGATTGAAAATCTTCGGATTATTAGATTATCGAGGTTACCATATTATTTGGTTATCATATCTTTTGAATTATCATGTTATTCAGACTCTTGTGGTGTTGGTTGTGTGATAGCTTTTTATAAAGAATATATGAATGATTTTTCTACTATTGCGAACATGGGATGAATATGAAAACCCTACATTCTTGGTGTATGGCAATCAATATTGATCAATATGGATGAATGTTGGATAAGTTTCTTGCTATTTTACGGGAAAGAGGGTTGGGCACCCCGTCAACTCACTAGTCTAATCCACTGATTTGATGTTCACCGATCCTTTTTGTCACTTATTTGGCAAAAAAGGGGGAGTAATAGACAGGAGGTAATAGACAGGAGGAGTTTTTGAAGAAAGGGGGAGTTTTATGAGAAATGCGGAGTTTTATTTGGCTGACTATTTTGGAATATGAAATAAGGGAAGATACAAGAAAGGGGGAGTAGTAGGAAAGCATGATGACTGCGACATATGGTATTTTTTTAGTATGGCTTGTCTACTACTCTATTATGCTACACTGTTTTTGGTAATCTCTTCAGTTTATGGCTATTATTATCAGTTACTGGTTATTATTATCTAAACAGTGAACTTATTATTATTGGATGATCAGCTTTTATTTAGCTAATCTATCTATTGGTGATCAGTTATTCTATCTGAATATTGAGGTTTCTCGGGGTTCATAGACAGCACACATATTCTCTGAAAATTAATACGAGTTCATGGAACATGGTCTACAAGAGCTTTTTGGTAATGTTTTTTTTCTTACCTTGGGTTATTGTATGGCACATATACTAATGGCTTTTTAATAAAATTATCTTATTTTTCTTGTTTGCCCAAAGTATAAGATGCTATAGTTTTTGCCAAATAAATTGCCAAAGGGGGAGATTGTAAGTGTGCATATTTTGTACACATTAAACCTATGATTGGCTAATTTATTTTTATAAATAATAGACTTAGGATTAGTCAAAAAACTCTTGGACCATTGTTATTTATCATAAGAGGCTTTTTAATTGGATGGCTCACAATTAATGTGTTTGAAGAGGAAGTCAGCGAGAAAATTACACTTTTGGTCCTGTGACTATTGTGGTCTTGTTAATTTTAGTACTCGACTTTAAAAACTAACAATTTAGTCCTGTAACTATGCAATTTTTAACACATTTGGTCCTGCCGGCCAAATCACCGGCCAAATGCTACCGGAAAAACGTAAATGTTTTAAAATTGTTTATTCATGAGGGCAAAACAGTCATTTCAAACCACTTTCTTCTTCTTCCTTGTCCCTGCTGGCCGGAATCGGAGGAATTGATACGATTTTTTATTTTCGCCGTCAAAATGTTGCCGTCCTTCTCTCCTTCTTTTTGGTTTTCTATCTTCACCATATATATAAGTAGTAAAAAAAATATCAATTTTTAAAATTTTAAATGGTTGTTACAATTTTTGAACCACACATGAATTTATGCTTTTGACCATTTTCAATGGCAACCAGAGACAGAGTTCTCTCCGGCGCATACAACACAAAGACACAGGGATCCGAAAGTAATACCAATTCGATCAGAGGAGCAAACCGGTCAGAGGAAATCGGAAAACGATCTTATTTGCGAAAAGCTAAGAACAGATCCAAACTCAGATTTGTGGTTCAAAGATTTATGGCCTGAGAGTCCGGGAGAGTGTGTATATAGGATTGGCCTCCTCTTTGCAAGGATTTAGTCAAATGCCATGGAAGCTTACGTGTGATTTCTTGTCTCCTGTACAAGATTATCTCCGTCGTGACCATGGAAGATTAGCTCGTACAGTGTGTATATAGGATTATCTCGCACAACTGGCGGCCCTATACAGAATCGTCGCAAATTGTTGGACCATTGCGATGTTGTTCTCCGTCCGACGACGATTGACTTCCCCAGAATGGTTATCCGATGATTTCCTTTTTAAAAAAAATGTAAAATGACCGTTTTGTCCCATGACTAAACAATTTTAACACATTTATGTTTTTCCGGTAATATTTGTCCTGTAATTTGGCTGGAAGGACCAAATGTGTTAAAAATTACATACTTACGGGACTAAATTGTTAGTTTTTAAAGTCGAGTACTGAAATTAATAAGACCACAATAGTCACAGGACCAAAAGTGTAATTTTCTCGGAAGTCAGCTATTAAAGTGTGGTTCAAGCAAATTATGAGGATCTGATTTAAATGAATGGCAGAGAATGATTCGAGCATGGGATGAAGCTATTCACGTGGCTATTTGATGAAAGGATTATCACTATAAAAAAGGAAGGTTACTCATTGAGGAAACTTTCCTTTTTGAGACTTACTATTTTGAGAAGTGAACACAGCTAACGAATTGAGAATTAATTATATTATTATCTTGCTGAGCTACTATCTGCGCTTGACTCAGTTGAAGTACTGTTCGAAGGTTATCAAGGCATGCACGTCACGGTCCAGGTTGGATGTTAGGAAGGTTGTTTGTAGCAGGGACGGAGCCAGAAAACTCGAGTTGGGGGGGCCGATGTAGTAGAGAAAATTTACAATTTTAGCCGACATTATAATTAATTGTACCATATTATTATATATACCATACATTATTGTGATTATTATTATTGATAATAATTTCTAATTATACTATGTGTAATAAAGTATGAAATACATAATTATATGAGTACGATCGACACATGTGCAGATCATTACTTTATAAATTTTTCACATAACACAAAATATAATAATAACAATAGCAACAACATTTATTAAATATATATTCTCTTAACATCAAATAAAAAGATTTTTCAATTATTTTGTCACCAAATTTTTTCATAATTAACTGATATTCATTTCACTGATTAACTGAATATTTCAAAATTTGAGAGATAAAAGACAAAAACCAAGACGAATTAAACATTCAATATTAATTTTTGTCAATTTCAAAACTAATCATTTAAAGTTTTAAACTAGCAAATGTACATCTTAAAAATGTAAATAAACATTTAAAACACACAATAAATCACTAATTAATTAATCAACATAACTAATAAAATCAAAGCATATATCTCTGATTTGGAGATTTTTTAAAATTAAAATGTATACTTGATTCTCTTCATTATTAAAATCTTGATAAAAGAAATAAGATAATAAAGAAAAATTTTAATTTTAATTATATGATTTATTTTTTTTATTTAATGAAAAATAGTGAACTTTAATATATATTTTGAGTTCATTTAATATAAACATAATAGATTGTTTTATTTAAAAAAAAATAGAGGGGGACCAAAAGTATATTTTATCTCTACTATATCAATATATACATACATATTTGCTAAAAAATTTAGGGTGAGGGTAAGGGTGGGGATGGGGTGAGGGGGGGCCAGGGCCCCCCTACCCCATCACGTAGCTCCGTCACTGGTTTGTAGTATGGTAGTTAAAACTGTGAGAGTCTAATATACTGTTCTATTGTAAATCTCCTCGGTGAACATCTATAATAGATTGGGCAGACGTGGGTTGCCCCGCAGACGTAGGAGAAACGCTCCGAACTGCATAACAAATCTCTCTGTACTTGATTTAATTACTGCTTTTATTTTCTGTTATTTACTATTACAAAATAACAAAAATTAATCGGCCAAAATTTAATATAAGTTTAAAAATCAAGTAAAAATTTTAGGCTCGATTAGTTTAAGGTTCACGGCACTATTTCATTGTTGTATAGGTAATGGGTGACGGTTCTAAAAAAAAAAAAAAAAAAAAAAAAAAAAGGTAATAGGTGACGTGGTGACATGACGATTTGATGGGAGAAAATTTAGAATTGATGACGTCAGGAGGGAGCGGGTGGGACCCACAAACTGACAACTTGTACACAGTTGTTGACCAATGGCGGGTCCACTTCACCGTATGGCTTACTCGCTTCCTTCCATTCATATTTCGACCCTTTCTTGGAGCTGCAGAATTGGATACCCTTTCCAGTATATTCTCTCTCATCAGGTACTTTTATCTTCCGCAAATGAAACAAAGCAAAGTTTATTAAAGAATGTTCTTTTTTTTTAGGTGAAAGTTGTGTTTCTTGATTGTGTATTTGGTTGTAGTTGTGGAAATCAATTGAAGCTAAGCAAGCAGAAATGGAAAAAGTGGTGATTGATGGGTCAGAGTCAGAGGTGGTGGTGGGTGATGCTCACTCCCTCCAAAACAAAATCTCTGCTATTCGCACTTCAGGATCTTCAAAGCTCCAGGTTTTCTTACATTTAACCCCTCCCTTATGACTTACTTTTGTTGAACATGTAATATATATAACTATAAATGTAGACTTTTAGTTAAGAGAACACATGCTTTAATTTGATATACAGCGAACCCTATGCAAAGATCAATGCAGTGAGTGTTGGGTAGTAAACTATTTGTTTCAAGCAAGATGCCTAGCTACTTTTTAATCTTTTGGTGTTCTCCGTCCTTGATCATATCATCAGTGTAAGTATTGTGAGTTGTTGCTAGTATTTTTGGATGTGAATTCATATTGGCTGCGCTGATTATGTGATTAATACTTCTCTTAGCTTTCTACATACATACATTCTTCCAAATGTTGAACCCCAACCCTAAGGACCCCCCACACCCCGACCGACAAAGCATTTGGGAGGATGTAAATCATGGTAACTTAACTGAACATGAACCACAGAGTTAGGCTAGACCTTTGCTTACTGCGCACAAGGAGTCCCCCTCACTTTGAGAAGTAGCTCCCACACTGCCACTGGTGAGACTCACTTTTAGATGGTGAAACAATTGGGCTTGCCCTGATGGCTGGGCTTGGGGTGCTATCTTCTGGCCTGGCCATTCCAAGTGGTGAGATGGGCCGTGAAGTCTCTGCTAAAGTGGAGGCCTCTCGGCGCTTAGATTGGAGGGCACCGCGTCAAGCTGGCTTTACATACATACATACATATATATACATCATCTTGGTTTGCATTGTGAGGTTTAGGGGTTTTTGGTAAATAGCTGTTAGCTGATTGGGTTAGTGAGTTTAACTAGTTGATAGCCAAAATAACTTTCTTAAAAAGCTGATTGAAAATTCTACTTTGAGCAACTTTTTGAATTTTAATAGGGCATTTGGTTGGAAGGAAGGAATTATGGAGAAAAGAATTGTACTCCGTAATTCCGTGGAAAAAGAATAAAGTGAGAATTTAAATTACATTGTTTGGTATGAAAGAATAGAATGATTGGGAATTGAAAGAAAAAAACGAATAAAGACTAAAATGTTCTTGTATAATAATAATATAATAATCATAAGAAGGATAAAATAATAATTTAGTATGGAATTACAATTTCACAAAATGTGGACTGTGGACCTTAGGAATGCAATTCCATGACTGGAAGGAATTGCAATTCCCTCCAACCAAACCAAGGAATTGCAATTCCATAGAGTTTGGTAGGAATGAAATTACAATTCTATCCTGCCAAACACCCATTAGCATTTTGGAGCAATAAACTCTTACAAAAAAACTAATTAATCAAAACATTAAATATTGATTGTTTAACCAAGTCAAACAACTAATAGTGATCAAATAAGTCAAAATTAACCGATAAGCTAACTATGTTACCAAATTTGGCCGTAATGTTTTTGTTTTGCTAGCTTCATCACTAGGTAATTGCGGATTTTGATGGGACCTTAACCAAATACTGGATAAATGGACATCGAGGGCAAAGTAAGTATCCAGTCCAAGTTTCACTTCACTACTATTTTTGATTGAAATGATGCATTTGGATGATCAAAAGAATGTATTGTATGTATGTTTTGGACAGAGGCCAGAGAAGGCTAAGTCCAGCACACTGTCATTTGAAAATATAAAAATATGGCACTAAGAAAATAAAGTTGCGCTTTCACTACGAGCTATAGTTTTCGTGCAAGAAATTGGAAATATAACTTTATATAAGAAAATAAAGTTACATCTTCGCTACCAGCAATAACTTTTGTGCAGGAAATTGAAAATGTGACTTTATATAAGAAAATAAAGTTGTGCTTTCACTACGATCTATATAGGCAATATAGTTGTAAAACCAAATTAAACTGTGTGTGTGTAGGCAGTCATAGCCTTTTGCAGCAGGATGATCCGGAATACAACATGAAGAAGCAGAAATTAGCTGAGTATTATCATCCCTTAGAATTCAACCCAGCAATACCGCTTGATGAGAAAACGAAGCTCATGGAAGAATGGTATTTATATATATATATTGCTCTTGCTCTTCTCTGCTGTCTGCTGCAATAATCGAACTGAATTCATAGTTTGCTTGCAAGCATTCTCCATTAGCTCAAAGGCCCGTTTTTTAATTTGCTAATGGGTTTAATTAGCATCTGAAAGTTGAGGCTCATTTCTGCAGGTGGGGAAAGACACATGACCTTCTTATTGAAGGAGGTCTTACATATGACGCTATTAGGAATTCTGTTGCGAATGCCAACATTGCTTTCAGAGATGGCGTTGTCGAGTTTTTTGAACTTCTAGAGGTGGGTTTTCACAACCAAACCGATTTTGATGCCTAATTGTGTACAGAATGGAATGGATTGACAGTTAAATTGGAGTTTCAGGAGAGAAACGTGCCTGTTCTTATATTTTCTGCTGGTCTAGCTGACATAATAGAGGAGGTTAGTTCTTCAATTCACGCCCTCTGATAAGTTGCTTGATAGTGCACAAATAATAGACAAACATTGTTATGACACGATGCCATTTCTCGTTCTTTAATTTGCCAGGTGCTAAGGCAGAAACTTCGTAGATCGTTTAAGAACATCAGGGTTGTATCCAACAGGATGGTGTTTGATGAGAACGGGCACTTACTGCGTTTTAAAGGTATCATTCTCGTTCACAAACAAGCCACTTTTGGTATATGGTGGTGATAGATCAGAAGATGTGTTTTGATTTGCAGGTAAGACGATTCATGTTCTTAACAAGAACGAGCATGCACTCGACATGGCTGAGCCTCTTCACGAGCAATTTGGTGAAGAAGACGACAAGGGAATAATGATAAACGACGAGGAGGAATCTGCCCTAAAGCAGAGGACTAATGTTTTGCTTCTTGGTGACCACACTGGAGACTTGAGAATGTCTGATGGCCTGAATTATGAAACCCGAATTTCGGTTGGTTTTATGTAAGTGGAATGAATCTGCTAAAGTTTATTTTATCATCATAACTCTACCTTAGCTTCCATAGCTGAAAGAAATAATTATTGCAGCAACCACAACGTTGAGGCTTCCCTCGATGGCTACAAGAAAGCCTTCGACGTCCTCTATCTGGTATATATATGAACTATATATTCGCTTTTCTTGAGGATAGTTAAATTTATAGAAAGAATGATTGATTATACTTGTTCGATCGATCGGTGTTTCTTTTATGGCGTTGCAGAACGATGCAAGCATGCATGGAGTAGTGAAGCTGGCTTCTCATCTGTGTTCTACATGAACAAGCTAAGGGCTAAACTGCAGTCTGCAACCCCATGACAGGAATGCAAAGCTTTGTATGTGTTGGTCTGGATATATGCATTTCCTGGTGATTGCTTTTTCTTGTAACTTTCTCATTATAAAGAGTACCATTATTTGTCTGTAAAAATGATGGATACCTGCTAAAATTTGGGGATGCATGTTTTTATATATATTCTTCTGTCAAATATGCATTGTAATTTGTGAAATTAACACTTGTTGGTTCTAAAGGTTATATATATACTATGGGTAATACCACTGGTCCACTGTCTTGAGTAAATAGGCTAGGGAGTCCTTCATGGATCTTCCTAATAATTGAATAATAATTTTTCTATAGTTTTTCTCTTCCCGGGTAATATAATTATACTCTTAATAGTTGGTCATAAAGGAAGGAGAGTTTAGAAGATACAAAGAAATTTTTGGGTAGAAGATCTAATGGAAAGAATTGATAATCTTTATTCACATGAGAGGTTTTCTTATATTATATATAAAAAATCTCATATTAGTCTTACAAGTTTTACAAGGGATTACTACAAAGTTCCATCTACTTTTAACCACCAAAAAAAAAAAAAAAAAAAAAGTCTTACAGGTAGTACAATAAGATAAACACTTTTTTTTTTTATACTAATAAGTAATAACTCTGTTACAATAAGATAAATACTAAGTAATCGTTTACTTCATTTCTCTGTTTTTCATTTCTCTATTTTTTCAATTTTTTCTTCATCATTTCTCCAGTTTTCTTATTTCATTTCCCTATTCCGTTTTTAATTTCTCTAATAAACTGTTTTAATTTCCTACATAGATGGAGGAAGTAACACAACTCAATTCAATCTGAAGTTAAGACCTGGTGGTAGTCTTAAAAGACATGGAATATGATATATAGAAGGGGTATGATAACTCTTAGGGAAATAGCTGAGGATTTGGGATACAGTATGTTAGACACCTTGAAATATTTCACCCATACTGGTAGTGACACGATATTTGAATTAAATAATGATAGTGATTGTTAGGCTATTTGCGATGTTGGAATGTTTCTCAAAGAGATTGAGGTTTGGGTAGTAGGTGGTGGAGAAGGTGAGGGTGAACCACCATTAGTAGAAAGTGAGGGTGAGTCAGAATCTGGGGATTATTTAGATGACTTTGAGAATAGTGCTGATAGTAATGATGACCCAGAGTTTGAGGCAAATGTAGATAAAAATGTGGAGTTTGATGGGGTAAGAGAGAGTGAACAACCTGTTAATTCAAGAGGGGAGACTACTAGGGCTGTGTTGACTTAACATTTACATCAAAGGTAGAATTCAAAGATGCAGTCCACAATTATGCTTTTAACAATGGTAAGGAATTGAAGTTTATTAGGAATGACAAGAATAAGGTCTATGTTAGATGTAGACAAACTGGATGCCCTTTCAGAATTAATCTTTGTAAAGTAAAAAATGCCTTGTCTTAAAGAATTGCAAGTTATCATGAAGTGCATGAGGGATGTGGGCTGGTGTATGAGAACCGCATGGTTAAATCAACTAGGATTGCAAAAAGATGGATAAAAGAGATTGGACACAAGTGGACTACTGCAGAATTTAGAGAGAGGGTGAAAGTGGATGAGGGATTTGAGTTGTCTAGGAAGCAAGCCTATAGAGCTATGAGAAAAGCAAAGGAAGTCATTGAAGGAAAAGCTAAAGAATTTTTCAACAAAATTTGTAGCTACTGTTTGGAGATTGAAAAAAACAAACCCAATGACTACATGTGTAGTGAAGTAAACTGGCTTACTATATGAAGGAAAACCTAGGTTTCTAAGGATGTATTTCTGCTGGGAGGCTTCAAAGGAGGGATATAAGTTCTGTAGGAAGATAATTAGATTAGATGGTTACCATTTAAAAAGTAAGTTTGGAGGTCAATTGTTAACAGCTGTTGGGATTGATGGGAATGACAGTATCTTCCCACTGGCTTATGCCATTGTTGAAGGAGAAACCAAGGATTCATGGAGTTGGTTCTTGCAGTTGATTATGAGAGACCTAGAAATCACAAGGGAAGCAGAACACAAACTGATACTTATCTCAGGTATAAACACTGTCTATCTAGTTCCTTATACTGTCATTTTCATAAATTTGTAATTTTTTTTTTTTTTGCTGCAGACAAACAGAATGGGCTTCTTCCTGCTATGGAAGAAGTGCTTCCATATGCCTCACACAGATTTTGTGTGAGCCATCTTCATGGGAACATGAAGCTTGCAGGATTTCTAGGCAAAGCAATGAAGGATGCATTATGGACAGCAGCCAAGACCACTACAGTTAACAGCTGCAATGATGCTATGGCAGAAATCAGGAAGTTGGATGAAGAGGCATATCAATGGCTAGGTGATAAACACGCTTCAGAATGGTCAAGGTCTCATTTCACTCCCTTTGCTTAAAGTGATGCTTTAGTTAACATTATTTCTGAAAGTTTCAATGCACTTATATTAGATGCAAGGGAACAACCAAGAACGAGATAACAGCAAGGTAGTTAGGCACCTAGTCGCACATTTGATTGTTTCTTCTACTTTTCTGCGTCATCACTCGGCTAGACCCAGAAAAGTGAGGGACTGGTGATAGATACCCTAAATCAGGCACTCAGTCTGGGAGTATGAAGAGTTGTCTGTCCCGACCGCAGGAGGGCACTTAGCGATTCAAGAGAAAGGGTTCCTCTCGTAGCCGACGACAGCGCAAGCACCTGGGAAACCAGACCGCCAAGCGAGTATGCCCCCGGTCATGGCTCCTAGCTGGCTCAGGTGGGCGACCATGCTCAGTAGTTGGCGTGTCCCTGACCGAGCCCTTAGAAAGGCACAGTTGGGCAACCAGGCTATGTAGTCGGAGGGTCTCTACCTGAGTGTCTTAGCCTCCCTAGCGGGGCTACCAAGCCAGGCAGTCGGTGTGTCCCCGACCGAGTGCGCGCCCAGAGGCGGTTAATGGCAGATTTCGCAGAGATTCCTTTCCTTGTCTAGCAAGTAGTTTCCTTCCCTTAATCTCAGCGGTTACCACATTAATTATGGTAGATTTCAAAGCTTGTTTAGTTATTTTTTCTCCCTTCTTACCTTATGATGGATCTATTCTCTTGTATAAATACCCCCTTGGGGGCACCGTGTAAAGGGTCGTCATTTTTTTCTTAAATAAAATATTATTACTCTGCCTCTTTTTCGGCATCAATTGCTCTACTTTGTTAACCTAGTATTTTACAGTAGTGTTGGCCCGCCGTACGGTTACCCTAAGCCGTAAAACCAACAAATGTTTACCCTTCAATTTAACGTCTTTGCTAACATAAGACTACAAGTGGTAACTTTTTTATACTTGAGGACGTTTGATGGTAATACCCAAATACTCGAATGACCATTAGAAGTATTAACTATATATATATATTAATGTGTGTGTGAGAGAGAGAAAGTGCACACGTGTGTGTTTGACAATGGTTTCTATTAAACTCCAAGTAAAAATAAAATTTATTCATGACAACATTTAAACACCCATCATCTCTCTTTGAGAGAACAAAAACTCATATGGTGAGTTTACTCTGACCAAACTTCAGTCATTTACATATACATCCTCTTAAAGGGGTAAAAAAGTGCCAGCAAAGAGGCTTCATATTTATGTGCCCAAAAAACAAGAGAGAAAGATAAACAAGACATGCCCTTTAGCAAATATTAAACCCCACCAAATGGGCATTGCAGTATAGACAACATACTGTATAAACACAGAAGGGAAAAGAGGGTTTAGGTTAGGTATATACTACTATTAACTGGATGGGGGGTAAGCACTTACTCTGCTAAAATTGATTGTGCTTCTGAGGGATTAGCAGTCAGATGTTGTGAAGGTAACTCCAGGCTCTTTGTATAGTGAAATTCGATTTGAAGGCGTTGATGAAGAGGCGTAGATGCCATCAACCCCTTCTTGAGATCAACTTGTAATTCCCGGATGGGGATAGCAGCCAAGAAGCTCTTAATGTACTCTTTGCAAGCCTCGCGACCTCTGCACAAAATTGCTTCTTGCTCGCTTTCTTTGGGCTCTTCATCGTTGGTTGATTCTCCCTCCTTTTCATCAGAGGCGCTGGTGCTTGTGCTAACTATTGTTTTCCCTTCCGAAGCAGCTTCCTTTGTATCATTTTGCTCGCTTTTATCACTACCCGGTTTGTCTTCGGCTTCTTCAGTCTCCTTAGCCAACCGCGAAATTGTTGTGTCTCTGTCGAACTTGAGGATATAGGCTTGATTGCAGCCCTCATAAAGGCGCTCGCCCAATGTGTCGATAATGTAGTATGCGTCTTGCTCTACCTTCAGTACAAAGAAGTGGTCGTTCCAGCTTACAATGTAGACCAAAGAGTCGCCACTGGCAATGTTGTCTTGAAGACAGGGTTTCGAAATTTCATCCCAAATGTTGTCAAAGGACATGGCGCCTTTGAGGAAATCGAACCCTTCATCTTCGATTCCTTCGGGATGAAAGAACCCAATGAAGGACTTCTCTTGGGATACTGATAGCGGGCGAACTTTAGCTTGCAGGACTGTCTCAAGATCAAAATGCTTGTCTGGGAAACGCTCCCTATAGCTCTCGTTTTCACACAGGTTCCTCCACTCCAGTGAACCTTCACGAATGAGGCTGTCGAGTTGAGACTTGATGGGCAGCTCTTCGCGGTTGATATGAAACCAATCAGCAATCACGGCAACCAGGGCTGTACACGCACTTTCTCCTGCGGCTTGTTCATTGCGTTGATCAATGGAAGCAAAGAATACCTGAGTTTGTAGTTTCATTTCTCCATCACGGCTTACGATCTCCTTTGATTCCCAGCTTCCAACCGCAAAATTATCATCTCCAAATTCAGAGACAGGAGATCGAGCTTCAGCTTTGCCCTGCTGCACCAATGATATATGCATTAAAAGAACTGTCAATATACAATACAATTTACCATGCTCAGGATTTTAGAATTTAGAGTCTACTAAAAGGCAAGCTACATTACTACTCTTTAAGAAGCAAAACTACTAGAAGCTGTTAGCTAGCTGTGTAAAGTAAAACCAAAGACCGGAACTTACAGTGGAAGACTCATCCGAGGAGCTAAGCTGTCTGCGATCAAAATCAATATCATCACCGCCTTCCTCTCCATAATGTTTCTTCAATAGTGGTTCCCCTTTGCTCTTAGGAGATTTAAAGCTCAATCTCCTCTTGCCCCAGGGTAGAATCCTGCGTTTTGAACTCTGCCGCGTTGATTGATCAAGTGCTGATCTAGTTGCATCCTCGGTATCCGATTTCTGATGGCTATAATAGATCAAATCTTCATCTTCACTGCCACTAGTATTAGAATAGTACGACCCTCCAGCATGATTTGCGTAAGCCAGTGCTTCATAACTGAACGACTTCCTCATATTGCTATCCTCAGTTCCTTCCTCGGATTCCCCTAATTCTTCTGACTCACCAAACGAGTCTGTGTCTACAGGGTAGCTGTCCTCGCTTCTGACCGGACTCCTAGAATCGCTCCCCTCATCTTCATGGCACGTCTTCTTGTGTCCTCGAGAGGATAACCCCTTAAAAATGTTAACCTTTTCAAGACCGGCTCTCAAAGGAGAGGCTGCAATTTTGTCATGCAATACTTCTCCAAGTGCGGGATGTGTCATGACAGGAACAGGTTTCTGCGTTGTTTCTGAAGAAGCTTCATGAACATTTCTCAGTTCCACGAGGTTAAGAGACAGCTGCAGCATTCATGATAAATGTTTTAGATTATGGAGGGCAAAAATAACCCCGAGGGCAACAATAACAATGGACGATCGGTATGTTGGAGGGAATTGAAGCATGTGCTCCATCTCAACTAAAAGCCTAAGCTAATAGTTGGCCCTCACGTGTGCGGTGGAGCGACTCATGACCTTTGGTCTAGCTCTGATACCAAATTGTAGCATGTGCTCCATCTCAACTAAAAGCCTAAGCTAATAGTTGGATTGCACATTAATGGTTATATGCTCAACAGAGGGGAGTCTAAGTCTTAATAGCACTTACACAAAGTACAGGACTGCTCTGAATACACAAACTAGAAGAGACTTCCAGTGGAACGCTAATCTCGATGTCTTTCTCTTTAGCAGATGAAGCATATTCTGCAAGGTTTAACGATGCAGTGGCGATAGCAGGCACCTTGGCAGTCGGTCCAATGCTCAAGCCCTATACATAAGAATAGTGAGTGCACCATGAGAGACAGTAAGCTAGAGGATCTAACCACACACACAAACTAGATTGGTTACAAGCTCATCAAAGAAAAGTCTAATGAAGATCAACTTTGATTCCCGTATCTGAAAAATACGATGATCATAGTCTATTTCCTAGCAGCCCAGCCATCATTTCTTTCGCTTGTAAGAAATAAAATTCGCTAAAGAAACTCACATGCTTTTAGGTTCTTGATCTGATCAGAAATTAGGTCAAACGAAAGGAAATTAAAAAATTATTAATTTCACAGTCAATATAACATCACTATTAAAGATTACCGAAAACTCCAATGGTAGGCCTGACTGTGTAAAGTTCAAAAAAAATCTAATTGCAGTTCATGTGGCTAACAGTATCTTCTTAATGGTAACACATACCAAACTCGCTTTTTTACATAACAGGCCACGAGTGCACAAGAAAGGGGATTACTGATGTTAAAAAAGGGGAAAATTAGGTAAAGTGCCCATTCATTTGCATACAAAATTGCCATGAATAATTTAATCTCTAGTACCAATAATTGACCATAGATTCCATGAATTAACTTAGGAAATTAAACCAGTTTAGTTTACTGCAGCTGGCTGGATTGACACAAAGGCTCTATTTTTTTTCCTGCAATCCAATGGATATACTTATGCAAATCCAAATAGTTTATTCTAGAAGATACAACTACTAGTCCATAAAGAAAAAGCCATCATTGTCCGCACGAGCTTAGCTCAGTGGTTCAGTAGGTAATATTTGATAGAAGAAACCAAGGTTCGAAACTCGGCAGCCACAGTGTGAGAATTATGTCAAAAGTGAACAGATTCTCCCACATGCTATGCGAGGCCGGGGCATTAGGGTTGGGGAGTCAACCTTTGGAAGAAGAAAAAGTAAAAAAAAAAAAAACCACGATTTTGGGTAGTTTAGTTTAGTGGTTGAGTAATTGAAAAGACAAACAACTACAGGCTGCAGCTCTCTAATCCCAAGATGGGATGATCATATATTCATTCATTTCTTGCAAAGCAAAATTATGCAGAGATTCACATGTTCTCAGATATTCATAATTACCAAAAGAATTTATAATCATTAAAAGTCAAACACCCCAAACCCAGGCTGGGATTGCATAATATAATCATGAAATTTGAGTATGATCAAAAGAGCCTCCAACCCCTAGCCTTCTGATTGTTAATAGGCTTCAGACACAAAATATTCCTCTAATTTCACAATCTAATTAAACCAAATAGAAAGAAATGAAGAATCAGAAGAAATCCAAACCCAATAGTGTAAACAAAGAATCGATTGAAAACTCACATTGAAGACAGTAAAAGCAAGCTCCCATGGCAGAAAGTCATCCCCCTTGTGAGCTGAGAAATTACAGAGAGAGTGAAATTCCTCGTCATGCCACTCAACAACTCCATCCACCACCCTCAAAGCCTCCCCCTTTGTGAAATTCCTCCTCACACCCCTCTTCCTCAGGGAGCTCAAAGGGTTCATCATCTTCGCTGACCCTTTCCACTTGATCTCAACCGTCAAATTCTCAACACTCTCCACACCTGCCTCTTTTGATATGCTCAGACCCTTCAGCCTCTGGACAACAACCCTGGCCTCAAATTTCTTGGATGAAAGTGGAGGCCATGGCCTCCACTTCATCATCCCCACCATCCTTTCCTTTTGCTTCAAAATTTCAACAACACACCAAAATGTTCAGCTTTGTGTAAGCGTGTGTATCCCTCTGTATATATAAGGGGATAAAGGGGAGAAGTGGAGAACGGTCAAAGGGATTAGGTACTGAATATCAAAATGTTTTAAGATTTTATACAAAACTAATCTTACTCGTCTCTCTAAAATTTGTCTTTCCAGTTTTCCTCTATTTATATATAATTTTCATTTTCATATTAAACCAATTAATAATGGGATCACTCCATTTATGAGCACCCAATAATTATAAAAGTCACGTCATGAAGAAAAAATAAAATTAATTATTGAAATAGTGCCTTGACTATAACACGAAATTACTACTTTTGTCATTGACTATTTTTTTTTTTTTTTGCCTAATTAAGTCTCTTGACTTTAAAAATCTTAACCAATTTGATCCTCCATTTGTTTACCCATCAGACATCTATTTACTCGTGACCAAATTGATAATTTTGCTATAGTCAATGGACCATTTCAGTCATCACATGCACCGTTTCATTATTAAACCGAAAAGTTAATTATCGAAATGCTCACTTGACTATAGTGAAATTACTAATTTGGTCCTGACTAAACAGATGTCTGACGACTAAATAAACGGTGGACCAAATTGGTTAAGATTTTTAAAGTTAAAGGATTTAATTAGGCAAAAAATAATTAAGGATTAAATTGATAATTTTACTATAATTAATGGATATTTTGGTAATTAATTCAGAAAAATATTAAGAAAAAAATTTTGAAAGAGAAAATAGTATTTCCTTTTAAAAATATTTAGGAAATGGAGAGAGAAGAGAGTAAAAATAAAAAGGCTTTTGTAGAGTGCTCGGGGTGGGGGCCAAATATACCTTGCACTCTTGCAATAATGTCTTATATTCTACTATGTTATACTTTTTCTAATACCTTTATCACATTATAAGATAGTACAAATTATAATATCTGTATATAAATATCATAAAATTTTAGTTCTGATAAATTTTCTTTAACTCTATTTAATAAATAGGAAATAGTTTCTATCCACATCACCTCTTGGATAAATTTATTCTCTAGAGTCTTTTTAGTGCAGCTTAACTCATGTATATATAGTTTGTGAGCTATTACACAAGAACAAAATTTATATAGTGCATACTTTTGGATAGTGGTTGTAGGTTTTCTCGTCATCCATAAATAAAAAGGGAACATTTACGACAATGCATGTTTAGTATAACAATAGATAAAATATGATTAAAGAGTACTTTCACCAAAAAAAATGATTAAAGAGTACTTGTTTAAAAGAATATTCACAGTTGAAACATGTATAATGAATTTAACATTAATTAAACTAACATCAAAATCATTCTCTAAATAGATTTTAGGTTTGAATTTTCCCTTATACATTTGAGGATTAATTAATGATAGCATTTGAATTTGAGGAAGAATATGTACTAAAATATGGTTTTGTAGTGGTAGTGATCATTTCAATGAAAAATACAGTCAAAAGATTTTATTTTTTTAATGTTTTTTTAAAAAGATATTTTGGGGGGAAAAAGTATATAAGATTAGACAATATTACAAGACTACTCCAAGCTTGTGTCATGATAAAGGACTTCTCTTTTGTAGATGCTAAAACTTTTAGAATATGAATTTTATGGATGGGCATCACTTACCACCACAATAGAAAAATAAAAAGAAAAAGAGAAAATTGAAGAAGAATTTAAGTGAATAAAGACTTCTAAAAGGTAGATATGTTTTTCAATTTCAATGAAACATTACTCCGTATTACACTAAAGTATGTATGTATATATATATATATATATATATATATATATATATATAGGGATTGAATATTGTGAGACCCACTTTTCACTAAAAAGTGTAAATTGATCTTAGTTGTTGATCTGGAGAAGATCGACAACTCTAAAGTAAGAGAATTTTTTTTTTTTTTTTTTAAAACATGGTGACATTTTTATAAATATTTTAAACTTTAAAGTATACCAAGCACAATTGTAAGGTGAATTTGGTGATACATATAAGTGCACTCATGAGGTTGCATTTTACATATTATCCGGTGCACTTTGTGGTATTACTTAGTGCATGTTGTAGTCATTTTTATCTGAATGATAGTTCTCATTTGATCATATATCTAAATTAACCTAAAAACATAATAAGTCTCAAATCATGTTATACCTATGATTTATATATGTGTTTTGTATGATAATAAAGGTATCTGTTTTACTTTAAATGTTGTACACTTTAATTTTATTTGACAAAATTATCCCTTTTAAATTCTTGTTAGAAAAACTATCCTTACACCGTTATAACTCTATTAATATATAAACCTAACATTGATGACTCCATCATTATTACCATACACCTATACCTATCATATCCTTTTCCTAATCTTTAATTCTCATTTTATTAAAATCATTATATAATTAAGTTAATTGTAGAATATAATTTAGTTAAATTTCTATTAATATAATGGTAAATCACATATGTTTGTGTATTTAATACATATATTATTTATGTATATAGTAATATATGTGAGTACTAGCTTAGTATTATAGATATTTTATTTATTCGTGTATATATTGTAAAATAAGCGTATGAAATTTATCAAAATAGTTTACAAAAGAAATCATCATTTTGATCCCTCAGTTGTTACCCAACAGTCAATGTAGTTCATAGTTTTCAATTTCAACCAATTTGATCCTTAAATTGCTTAGAATTTCGTCAATTAAACTCTTACATGGACTAAATTGAAGAAATTTTAAAAATATAAAATTTATCATTTTGGTCCCTAAAAGGGTTTAACTGACAAAATTTTAAACAATTTAAGGATCAAATTGGTTGAAATTGAAAAATTATGGACTACATTGACAGTTGTAAAATAATTGAAGGACCAAAATGGTGATTAACTCTAGTTTACATTATTATTATTTTTCTCTCTATAATTTTTAAAAACGATGATTAAAAGTTACTACCTTAAGAAACTGTAAAATATATTTTAAACTACAAATTTTAATTATTTTTATTTATCAATATTTTAATATTAAGTATGATTTTTCGCGCATAACACATATAAAATGTGTGTGTATGTGTGTGAAACTTAATATCTTTCTCATTCACTTTTGAATTATACACGGTACAAGAAATATTGATGTCAATTAGCACCTAAAAATTTCTTACACATGTATATAATAGATAGTTAGACACGGATTATAATTTATAAGTAAATAATATTTTAAGTTTTTAAATTTATATATATATATATATATATATATATATATATATAGAGGCTTATATCACTTATTAAATTTAACAATTTTGATATTATGATTCTTGCAAAAATAACCAATTCATTAAAAACTATATGTATATGTGTGTGTATTTTTTTTAAACAAAGTTGTGTTTATATCTTTATTTATTTTTCTCCATTTTTTTTTTCCTTTTTTAAAGATTGGACAAGTGATGGATTACTTAACAAATTTTAATTTTTTTTTTTGGTACTTAACAAATTTATACTAGTGGTTTAGGTGAGTCAGGCAATTTGATAATACTCAACATGCGTGGACTCCAAAAAAATAAATTAAAATTAATAAATAAATAAAAGAGAGAAGAGAAAGAGAGACATCTCACATACGTGACTCTTTCTTTGTCCCTTTGCATTTTTTTTTCTTTAGTTATGTCACCTTCTGATATTATTTATGCTTCATGCCGTAACTGGCAAATATAAATAAATAAATATATAGAAATTAAATAAAAATAATAAGTAATAAAAAAAAAAAAAAGTGACCTAATATTTGTACTACTATTTGAATTTTGAAACATTATCCATTATTCAATAACATGTCTACATGTTCACCCTTGAAACTAATTAGTTATTAGATTAAAAAACATCAAATAAATTTTTGAAAAAAAAAAAAAAAACCATAATGAAAAAAAACATACATTTTTATCTCGCGAGACTTCTATTAGGACTCTATTATCTATATTAGATTAGGACTATATTATCCATATTAGACTAGGACTATATTATTCGTGTTAGACTAGGATTATATCTAGCATCTCTATATATTCGCTCTATGTACTCTCAGACATTATGATTGAATACAACACAATTATATTCTCATCTGGTATCAGTTAATTAGCCAGGGTTTTCTTTTCCAACATCCATGTTCCTCACTTCGTAGCAGTAGCCGATGCCATCAAACCAAGATACATCGTATCAGAAGCGGTCCGGTCAACGACGTGACGTTGATGATCCGTGTCAAATTTGTAACGGTTTCGACCACACGGGAGCCAATTGTGTTTGGCGTTATGATGATCCGTGTCAAATTTGTGACCGTTTTGGTCACACGGGAGCCAATTGTTTTTGGCGCTATGATGATCCGTGTCAAATTTGTGACCGTTTTGGTCACACGGGAGCCAACTGTTTTCGTCGTTATTCAGGGGCTCCGGGTTTTCAAGCTAATGTGGCCGTCTCTGGTGATAATGGTGATTCCAACGGTCCTCATCAGTGGTTCCCTGACACTGGTGCTACAAATCATGCAACGCCTGATTCTTCTTTGATGACTTCTGCGACAAGTTATGATGGCCCGGACACTCTGCGAGTCGGCAATGGTACAGGTTTGCCT